CGATGACTGTCATGATGATAAAAAGTGACAGCGACGAAAGGTATACTCGATAGATTGATACTTTGAAACGTTTAACTGAGATTATTATTGTTGTTGTGGTTAATCTGTTGTCGCGTGGTAGTATTTATACAGTTCGTTGGATCAATTGATATTCATATCTCTTGATTGGTTCGCTTTTTTTCTTTTGTGTTTATTGTAATTCATTAGGTTTTGTGTTTAGTGAGTCAATTTCTTATGTTTTCCGTGAGGTTCGCTTGCTCAAATGGCCAGTTACAATCAATAATTTCGCTCTCGGCTTATAGCCGATGGTTTTACCTTTTTTTTTGGGCAGCTTGAGTGTAGCGTAAAGACCCTGAAAGTCAGGGTCTCGGCTTATAGCCGAGATCGGCTTATAGGTGAAGAAATACGGTAAGATAATGCTTGATGTTATCCATCAGGTCTCTGTTGTGGTTTGCATGATGTAAAATATCTGTGAACTGACTGAGAATGGCCTTGTCATAATTTCTTATTTTGAAGGTGAGAAAAGTTAAAGCCATGCAAAATGTAGCTGTCAGCCTTTGGTCGATAAAAGTAAAACACTAAAGGGAGCACTTCACAAAAGAGATGTATCAGGGAAAGGTACTGTGTGTCTTTGCACTAGGTTCCAAACTGTTCAAGCAGTGTTCAACCACCAAATTCTGCAGTACTCACTAAGTGCGCTAATATAATGTGGCTTTGGTCTTTTGAGCATAACCTATAGGTCAGTGAATTATTATACAACAACATCATAGATGTTGTTAAAAATAATCATTTAAAAAAAACTGACTCAAACTATTCATACAGCTGGGACAATATTAAACATGAGCTGTGTGTTTAATCAAATATCATACATGGTTAGATGCATTTGATGCACATAGTGTTAATTGAAATTGGTCTTGGTCAGTTTATGTAATGATATTTGGGGAACTCGTACATTTAATTGCCTAAGGTTGGAGAAAATGAGTGAATCTATCATTCAAAAGTTGTTGCTGGTCATGGTATCAATTCTAATAATGATTTTTGTAATTTTCATTACCATATTTCCTCCAAACAGTCTCTTGTAGAGCTTCTCAAATATAGATCTGAAAAGCAGCACAGTAGACTCTTCTGTATTCAAGGAAACATGAAATGGCCTTTGTCAAGGAATAAGAGTAGGTGTCACACTGGCTGGCTCTCCTGGGGTCCCACTTGTTGCAAGAGAATAAAAAGCAAGAACTCAGTTTTTATTTGCCACTCCTAAATTTATCATAATACACCTCGCCTAATTTGTGCTTTGAAATTACAAATGTTTGAAGAGAAATAGTCTATTGAACATGTAAGATTCAAATCTGCATGACCTGTCACTTAAGTGCGTTTAACTCTCAATTTAAATTTTAACCATAAATCTTCATGTGACTCATTTGTTAACACGCTAAGTTCCCGCTTTTCAATGTATGATTTATTCAGTGTTAGCCTTTATTATGACAATTTCTTGTCTTAAATCATTGGTTATTTCACTTGGCCTGTTCATGTTAATGGCAGGAAATATCCGTAGTCGTTAGTCTTTTTTTTTTTTTGCTTTCATTTTGTTTGTCAATTTTCTTGGATCAATTATGATTATAGCGGTAGTTTTTTTCCTTTTAGTCCAACCATCACTTTCATCATTTACATCATTTTCATCATCACCTTCTGAGTAACCAGATGCATTCAATTGACTCTTTGACCGTGAGTGAGGAATAAATTTTCTCTTTTAAATCAACTCTTGGTTGGAGTCTACAGAACATTGGTAGACAGAAGCACAACATAGACCAAATACTTTACCCAGAAACACAACAAACCTTTGTAATGAACTTCTTTTTGTATTTCCGGGTAGGAAAATCCCCTGCTAGAATGCTTACAGATTGCTTCAAGTAGTTGTTAAACTCGGGAGCCTCAGTCAGAAGGTGGGTAACAGCAGTGTTGTAATTTTGACCACTTTTCAGATTTTTCTCAAATTCATCTATTAACCATGTTTCGCTAAAGAGTTTTAAGTCATCTTGATCCTCCCCTGAATAAACCCTTAAAAGAAAAACTCATGTCGTGCATTTTGTAGGTAACTGTTTTTAGGGCAGGGGTTATAAAGGATTGGTGAAGAATCCACTCTTGAAGTTAATTAATATATTTCTTGCTCTGTGTGATTGTTTCTTTTGATCTTAATAAACTTGTATTATTTTTGGTGATTAAAGTAAATTGGAGCCTTCTTTCTTCATCCCATTCCCTGAATCTTAAAATTATTTATATTTGTGTTTATTGTAGAAACAAAATTGGTAAGTTTCAATTTAGTGGTGTATATGGAGGTAGATAAATGAGTGATGCCCATCTGTAACTGTGAGAAAATAATTGGGTGGTTTCAGTTGGAAAAAAGTGAATGCATTGAGTTTTTCACGTTACCTCAGGTTTTCACAACTTTGTTTTACATTTGTGTTGTGCACGATTTAACGCCTTAGTGGTGCTATACTTAAGTAGCTGAAAACAAAGAAGTTACTTAATGCCACAGAAAAGTGTTGAAGTATGGTTGGCACATAGATGCTGCCTCTACATTGCCACACCAAACCCGTACTGATCCTTCATTGTTACTGGAACAGTACAAAGGTCATGACTCTTTTGGGACTTTTCACAGTGTGCAATTTTTCTTGTATGTGAAGCAAGCCTGTGCACATATGCCGAACAGTGATGGTCGTACTGGACATAGTAAATCGAGGGGAAGGTTAGGTAGGCCGGCAAACTTCAAAGGCCAAGGTTTTTGTTTGATTTTAAAGAGATCACTTGCCAGACTCCGTGCAAAGGCATTTTCAAGATGGCGTCCGCTGTGACATAGCGATGACTGTCTTGCCAGTTTTTGAAATGCTTTTATCTACAAATTTGTACCAATCCACTACATAAATACTCAAATACAGAATTCACAATGCCTGGTGATAACTGCTCTGTTGTTGGATGCGGGAGATGTAGAAAAACAAAAGGAATTAGCATCTGGAAGCCTCCAGCTCCACGAAATGAAGCTTACAACCACAGGTGGCCCAAGCTCTGTCACAGGCTCTTTCACAGTGAATAATTAAAGAGTTTGTGTAGTGGTTTAGTTGGACTTGTTTTTGAGCTCCGTAAATGTAAAGTTGTGTGAAATAATCAAAGCAATAAAGTCTTACCTACATAAAGAGTAGTCTGTGTTGTTTTCCTCGCGATTTGAGGCCGTTTTGATGTATTTTAGCTTGACGCCCTAAATTACCGTGCATAAAATACGGGAAGGTCGGAAACTTCTGTTGACACATGCTCGCCAAAATCGCTCGAAAACAACACTTAAATACTTTCCCTCGAATAAAAACTAGGCAGCACGAAAGCCAAATAGTTGCCCATTAAGTTCACCGAAAAAAATCCCACAAAAGTCGGTTTGTCGAGCAACCAATCCAGCGAGAATTTCAAATTAACGAACGTTCGGAATAGGCTCCTTGCACTAAGAAGTCACGTGATCTTCNAAAAAAAATGATATGACATACCAGTTGGCAAAGTGCGAATTATACGAACGCGCAAACACGAGCAAATATGGAGCTTTCCGACACATCAAATACATCAGTAGGTCTGCTACTATTACAGTCGCTCTTTTTGAGAGTTCCTAGTGGATAAAGATCGTTTTGTTCCGAAACAAAGAAGCAAGTAGAGCAAATATTTGCGTCACTCACATTTCGTCGTCTCACAAGGCTGCCATTGTTTCACGTAGCAACCGATTTGTTTGCCCTCCAACATGGCGGAAAAGATCACGTGACTTCTTCGTGCAAGGAGCCTATTCTTCTAATGCGTGGAAGGAACTTCTTGTGCCGCTGAGAGACCGTTAATGCGCGTTCAACCTGGAACCTAGTCAAATCTCTCTCAACGGGTCCTCCCAATAGTCTTCTAACACCAACTCTTCACACATACTAAGGTACCCCGGGTAAACTCATCGACTTGACTAGATCGTCAATAATGTCCATCTTCACTGTTTTCAATGGATTTTTACAAATATCCTCTTACCCGGGGTACCTTAAAACAGTACCTATAAAACAGAACAAAAGTTTTATTCATTTTAAGTGATAGTGTTTGAGACCCTTTAACGGAGCGAAAAGGCGTTTAGTGTGTTGCGTTACATAGCGTTACTAATGCAAAGACATTTATTGTATGTAGTCAATCGTGTTGTAAATCTACTTTCCTACGTGAAATAAAATTAATTAATCGCGAGTGTTGTGTGGTAAATCTTCTATCTTGATTATTGAATGAAGGACAGTTTAATTAGAGCAATGGAAGTTGTTCCATGAAAACCTCTACATTGCTTGAGGCGACACACCGGATCTCCGGAAAGCAAAAGGCAGTGGACCGTCGAAAGGTGTTGGTAGGCCTGTGCGTCTCTTAACATTCGCTGGCGCATTTAAATCTTCTACCTCAAAGTTAAGCTCTTATCAGAATATCTCTGGATGACTTTCCTTTGTGATGTGATAATAAGGGTCAGTTTTGAGGTATCATTTCCCCATCTGTATGGGCAATATTTTCTTCTGTGCGCGCGCTATTTTCTTTGTTTTCTAGTATACTTTTCTCCTGCAGAAATGACTCCAGAGATACGTTTCTCAAAACCCTCATCTGGGTTTCTTCTACTTTCGAAGGGTATTTCGAAATTCTGTACGTTTTTACTAAACGTGGAGCGAGACAAATTCGTTGTTAAGAGGCGTGGGGCTTCTCCTTTCACAAATTCCGTATTTACACTTGGTGAAAAAAGTTTGTGTTTGCATATTAAATTATTCATCCCGCCATCGGTTTAGTGTAACTGATGCCATTTGTGTCGAGATTCCTAGGCAGATTGCAGTTTCGAATCATTATTAATAACGTCAGTTGCCTCCTCTATGAACGAATTCATCATGGAGGAATGACGGGAGTCGCGCCATCCTCAGAGACCCAGGGGCTGTAGGTCGATTTCAAGTTAGGGCATGAAGAGCCCCTGGGGACATCGTCTT